CCATGCGTAACTGTGCTTTGACAATGACCTGTTAATACAAGTAAAATGCGGTAAATATTTCATGCCATATTCAGTTTACCTCTCAAAAACCATGTCGTTTATTTGCTGAAATCAATTCCAACAGATCGTACTTCGACATCGGTAATTCACTTCCGCATTGCGTTACCGGAAAGTCTTCGTGAATTTTTGAAGATTTGCGTTGGTACAATACCGCATTCTGATTGGTTAATAACCAACTTGACCCATTAGGTCAATGGACGCTGCTGCAGTTCAAATCTGCAAATGCGTCATGGCGGTAAGTGATTTTCATCGAGAGTTTGCGTACGATCCAACACCTTCGTCAGTGGAGATAATGATGAGAATTTTGACTAAGATTGTGTTCCAACAGATTCTAATGTTTTTAATTTCGTAAATTCTGGTGGTACGTACCGGTAATTAATATTGTAATAAAATGTGCATATTTTTTGTAATCATTTCTGTTTCTTCATTGTGAAAATCAATGATGACGCAACTAATTTCGTAATTTGATTTTCTCTCATTGACGTAATCTCTGCGCCGTCGAAACTTCCCATTGCAACATCAAACGTGTTGGAGCCCTCTTTTGCCATGGCGATTGATTATGGATCAACAATGTTTGTTTGGCGTGAGTGATTATGTTTATTTCTTCATCCGGGATATTATCATAAGCCGAGGCAAAACGTATCGTTTTGCTTAATAGATCCTCGCTTATGGATGGGTAGAATTCCACAACGTCAAAACAAATAAAGTTATAGCGTGCCTTATTTTCGATGTCGAACCATTTTATCACGGAGGACGTATTTTTCCACTGGTGGATATCAGTAGCTTTGATGATTTTCTTGTTAATTTTATCCAGGATTTGTTTGCTTATCTTCCCTATTTCAGATTTGGTTGGATTGATTAGTCTGCACGATGGGTTATTTGCGAAGTTCGGTTTGTGATCTTTTAGGGTTATGTAAGCCTCCTTCTTCGCGAAGCTTATAATGTATGCTCTTTGGTGCAGTGAATGATTAAACATAAAGCTTCTGATGAATGAGGTACTTGTACCTTTTGAAACAGTGCTGTCGAGTATTCATGTAGTTGTGTATTAATTCCTCTATCACCGTATATATATATATATGTATATATATATATATATATATATATATATATATACACATTTATATATATATACATTTCTTTATTTCATTGTTGAGTCTGAGTTATATATTTGTTACGTACTATAATTTCTCTATATTGGAAAACGGTTATAGGGATTACTGTAAAGGGGGTAATTATTCACTGGGTTTTAATTTAGCTTATTTCGCTGACTGGAAAAATGCGCTAAATTAAAACCCAGTGAATATGTACAATTTAGCATGGAACACATTATCAAAATGATAAAACCGTGAATTTAAAACCTACTGAATATGCCTGAAATGGTAAATCAGTGAAATTTAAACCCAGTGAAAATTAGTCATTTTACAGTATTAATTTTATTAAAAAATATTCAGCTATCCTTTGCAATAAGATCATAATGATAATGTTTCTTGGTTTTTGAAACTATGGGCATTATCAGAGCATGGATCTTATTTTGGAACTCCAGCCAGAGCAACTGCAGAAATCATAAGGGCAAATTAATAGCTTCTAAGGATGGTATTCCCAGAATAGCGCAAGTTGTTAAAGAAACATAAAACTTTAATTCTCAACAACGATGAAAGGACCAGTTACTGCGACAAAGCCCTACTCCCTGTGAGACCCACCAAATATGAAACCCATTTACTGCGAAGGCCACTTACCGCGAAGCTACTAGTAGTTAAATAAAAAAAAACTTTACCCCTGCATGAGCTGGTTCGTATTGTGACTGAGTGAATTATTGCTTGACATATCAACTCTTGTTCTTTGCAGGTGTGGAAAATGCATTTTCATTCACTTCAAAAGTAATGACTGTGTCACTTCACAAATATGCACCAGGATTTTTTCCAAGTAAGTCCAAATTAATCAGAGATTATAATATTGTCCAAAGCTGTCATCTTTATATTTTAAGGACTATTACTTCTTGTATCATTTCTGAACTATGCTTGAGCAATTTTGTTCAAAGTTGGTACAAAGACAGAATATGCACATTAACTGTACTGGGAATAAACATTTATAAACAGGTACATGTAGTTTATTGGCAAACAAATAAAATAACCCTACCTGTCTACCTAGTATTTTATTAGTTCGAAACCCGGCATTTTTTTCTTTGGCCTCATAAATAGAATAGAAGACAGTCAAGCTTACTGGAATCTGTTATCGAGAATGTTTAGTTTTGATATTTTTCTTTTATTTGAAATAAACCTATATGCTTCTTTGTGCTTTCAACAACATCCTCTAAAAAAGAAACTTGACTGTTTTCTTTCTGAATTCTCAGTAGATCATTAATAATAATACTTTATTCAAATCCTTATAACAAGTATACTTAATCATAGACTATAAATTACTGCTGTGTTTATGTGGATGACCTTCTCAGCCTCACTGTTTTTATGCAAATGTATCTCCAGTTTATGATATACATTGTACCTTAACAATTGTGTGACCTGCTTACTCTGCATTATATAACAATTCTAAACTGCTATAAGGTCTTTTTTTGAAGTAAGTAAGGAATTATGCTGCATGAAAATTTACAAGAATTGTTTGCATAGTTTTATAAGAAAATTTCTTTTGAGGTTTGCTTTTAATGAAAGTTTTGTGATTTTTGCTGACTTGACACTTAAATTTGACAAACTAAAGCAAATTTGTACAAAGACACTTACTTTGCAGTGGCGGAATACTTTTATGGTGTGACTTGTGGCTTACTTGATACCTTTTTATTTCCACAACTCAAAAATTATTTGTGATGGAGTGCAGGTATTTCAGCTATTTGAATGTACTTCAATGTGTGGCGTTTTATTGTCGTTTCACACTTACTGATTTTATGTGTGTCTATATTTGCCATGCTCTTCCTTTGTACAACGCAACACAACACAGTTAGCACAAACGCACTAAAAAAACTGTGCTCCTTTTCTGCATTTGTTGGATTTGCGATATTGCAAACGTTTGTTGTATTTTAAATATATCGAGCAAGTTGACAACTATGAAACCATAAATATATAAAAATTAATTTTTCAATTATCCTGACATTAATATTTATGATTACATTAATGTTTTTTTTAAATGTGTATTCAACAACAAGTAGAGTTGTTGTTGATTTCCATGTGGATTATATTTCCAACTTTTTTTCCTCATGATAGGTACTGGTAATCAGAATGACATCGGTATTGGTAGAGGTAAATTTTACACTGTCAATGTACCACTGTATGATGGTATACAGGATGTACAATATAACAGTGTCTTTAACAGGTATACATACTTGGTTCAATTTATCTCTTTCAAAACCACCTATTAGAGCGAGAACATTTAAAAAGTATATTCTTGAAAAAAAAGAGACAGGGGGAAAATGATGAATTATTATTAGTAAAAATTTCACTGGATTTAACATGGAGTTTCAATTTTATGTGCAATTATGCTAACAACATGTAACAGCTTTGAAGATTCTGGTTTTACCTGTGCAAGTGTTTGCTATGATTTTATCAAACTAAGACCTATCAGGGGTTGTCTCTATTTAGCAGTACATGAAACTGAACACGATGTCTTAAATTCTTAGTTCATTCTATATCATTTGCACCTGGGTACTTAAAGGGCGGTAGTCGTCACACCAAGCATGCACGAGATATACGAGTCTCAAATAAACAAAGATGGCAACTTTGACTGTTGCGCAGATCAATGAGTACAAACTGAGACATTACCAAGCTTTAATTAAGTATTTTTTTCGGTGATTGGAAGGTATTGAAGGAGTCACCTGCGGTGATTAGTGCAAGTCGCACCCAGGTCGAACCTCATACTTGTGATTCCAATTAGAAGAGCTCATTGGACTGTGGGAAAATCATTGTTTATCAACACAAATGTCACACATGCATGTTGCAATGACCACTGCCCTTTAACGTTATCTGCAGTACATGAAGCTGAACATGTCTTAAATCCTTAGTACATTTTATTAGTCCCCGTTTGGACGCAGTCTGTAAACGGGGACTTATGTTTTGACCTCTGTGTGTCCGTCCGTGCGTGCATGCATGCGTCTGTGCCTGCGTCCGGACCTGTATCTTAGAAATGCCTGGACCAATCACAATCAAACTTCACACATACATCGTACATGATATTTTACATATGCACGTCAATTTGTTTCACAATCTGATTCAAGATGGCCGAATGGCGGCCATTTTTGTGCTAAACAATCCTAAAAATTAACCATTTCTCGGCTGTTTACAGATGGATTTTGTTCAAACTGGGTATATACATTAGACATTATGGGACCTTGATGCAAATAATTTTGTTTTTCAGATAAGATTCAAAATGGCCGACTGGCGGTCATTTTGTATTAATGAAAGTGGTTCTCGTGCCATATCTCTGACTTGCTTTCACTGATTATGTTCAAATTTTAAATATTCATTATGCTTCATGTCATAGATAGACAGATATATTGGTTTGACGATCCTATTCAAAATGGCCAAATGGTGGCTTTTTTGTGCTAAACAATCATCAAATATCAAGCATTTCTGGCATTTATGGATGGATTTCGTTCAAACTTGGTACATATATTAGACATTACAGGTTCCTGATGCACATCATTTATTTTTCAGATCGGATTCAAAATGGCTGTCTGGCGGCCATTTTGTTTTAATGAATGGGCTTTTAGACCCTTATATCCGACTTGTTTTGACTGATAATATTTTCAAATTTGAAATATTCATTATACATCATGTCATAGATAAACAGATATATTGGTTTGACTATCCTATTCAAAATGGTCGAATGGTGGTCATTTTTGTGCTAAAAAATCATCAAATATCAAGCATTTATGGGTGGATTTCGTTCAAACTTGGTACAAACATTAGACATTACGTGTTCCTGATGCTCGTCATTTTATTTTTCAGATTGGATTCAAAATGGCTGACTGGCGGCCATTTTGTTTTTATGATTGGGCTTCTAGAGCCATATCTCTTAAATGCTTTGACTTATTGTATTTAAATTTTATATATTCGTTATACATCATGTTATATATATACATGTATTCAAAATGGCTGATTTTGAATGCTGTTCCAGAGCAATATCTCTCAATATGGACAAGTACTTGTTTGACGATCAGATACAAATGTCAATCAATCATTTTGATGTTAAAAAATCATATTCCTGACATGGTTATATTCCAGCTATATTACTATAAAGAAAACTATATATCTTAAATTTGATAAATAACGGGGACTGTGCCATGCATGGCTTGTTTCATTTATACTAGGGTACTTAACGAGGCAAAGCGCTGCTACAATCCTGAGGTAATTGTACTGCAGTGTGGCGTTGATACCATCAGTGGAGATCCCATGTGTTCTTTTAACCTAACACCGCATGGTATTGGTAAATGCCTTAAAACCACACTGGATTGGAAACTACCTATGTTGGTGCTTGGAGGAGGTGAGATAAATGCATGTAAAAACTTCAAAAAAATGCAGCGTTATTGTCTCCGCCATATTGTTTCAAGCACCCAAACAACAACATTGCTAGCCAAGTATGCTGACTGGCTTGCTGCTATACACGTCTTGAGTCAAACCAATCTCAACAGGAGACCTCAAACTATTAGTGAGGGACTTGGACGTGTTGAATATAAATGAAAAATGTATTTTTGTCTTTCAATTTATTTCATCTAATGGTATAAATTGCTGTATGACAAAATGGCCAAAACAAACTAAACAAAATGTAAGAACTGACACAGTCTGAGATGCAGGACAAATTCGCTGATATGTCTATTGCAAAGCACGACACTGGTAATGTGTACATTTAGCAGAGCAGCACACCCTTGTAAATATAGTATGATTTAACAAGTTCTAATCACGTAACAATCTCCAGGCATGCATAGTAAAATAGATGGCAACTTAGCTGGCAATGTTGCTGTTTTGGTGACAGTAATAACATTTGTTAAATTCTGCTCAGCTTACTAAATGACTACTGTAAAATGACTGCTGTAAAATCTGTATTAGAAGCCGTGACTTCTATTAAAATGGTACAATGCAACAGAGGAGATGCAGCTTCTAATTAGAGCATCTACACATATGAATGAGAAATGGTTCCAAATTGTTTAAAAAGAATGGGTGCGACTTCTATTTGGGATGCGGCTTCTAATACAGATTTTACAGTAATTTTCATTGGGTTAAAATTTCGCTGATTTAGCATTTCAGGGATAGTGGGTTTTAAATTCAGTTTTATCATCTAGATAATGTGTTCTGTGCTAAATTTTACATATTCACTGGGTTTTAATTTAGCGCATTTTCCAGTCAGCGAAATGAGCAAAATTAAAACCCAGTGAATAATTAACCCTTTTACAGTACTAGTATATGATTGTTGTGAATCAAATTTAACATGTGGCATGACACATAGTTTTATTTAGAATTTCTGGACAATGGTGCCAATGATTCCATAGTCCAATTATAAGGATTGAGAAGCACCTGTTTTATGTATAATTATGTAATGATTATATTGTATTTTAGGTGGCTACAACATACCGCACACTGCACGTTGCTGGGCATACTTAACGTCTATTGTACTAGGACAAGAAATACCATCTGAAATACCAGAACACGAGGTAAGACTCTTATCTACCTCAAAATGTCAATCCTTTTTTAGTCTATTTCCTTGTCTAGTGTCTGCATAACAATTTTTGGAAACTGTTGAGCAGATTGCTTCAGTAATGATAACCGTTTCAGATCAAAACGTTCATATAGTTTTATTCTCTATTTTAAGACAGGCTGCATGCATTGATTTGCACTTGTCTGGTTTGTAGTATGATGTAGTAAAACCTGTCTAAACCCAATCCTGTGTCAACTAGTGCAATTCACCTTGTCATCCTGCTTGGTCATATTGTTTATAATTAAACTACTTGTGATGTGGAGAAAACAACAAACATTTGTTTTTTGCCAACGAATGTTAAATTTGTTGGTACTAGTGAGATAATAAATGAATGACATCATAGCAATAATTTGTTTTGAATTGTCAATGCCACATGTATTATTATTTGTACAAAATTGATACAGTTCTACTGTAATTCTACTTTAAAAACCTGTACAAACTGAACACTATGTTTCAATCAATGGGAAATGGAGTTGGCACTGTAGACCAAACAATTTTCTCTTTTAAAATATTTGTTGTGTCAGATATGTTTCACTGTATACCAGTATAGCATATAAACGTATCAATATTCTGCTTTCCAGTACTTTACAGAGTATGGACCAGATTATCAGTTGGAAATCGAACCAAGTCTAAGAAAGAATCACAACAGTGATGAATACATCAGTAACATTCTGACAACAATCTCAGGTAAATTGAACTAACGTGTAGTATATACAGCCAAGGATCGAGCAATATTGCCATTCCATGTACATTGCAAGTATGGAAACACATGAAATGTACCTGGTCAGCATTCCTACAAACAGTTATGTAGCAACCTGGCACATGTACATGACGAGTGTTCCTACAGTCAACACAAAAATGAAATAGTCGTGCGTCTTCTGTTTTATGTTCTTCCAAGATTCTTATCTACTGAGCATGTGTATAATGCATTATGGGTTAAAATCATAAAAAAACTTAAATTAAATTGTAACAATAACAATCATGCTCATATCGGTGAACCAAGTTTTTAGATTTAGTGAACGAAAGACTAATAAAATGACAATTTTGCGCAGATTTTAGAATTGTGATGAACCCACAATTTCTATCTTCTAAAAACCATGAACAAAATTGCGTTCATCCTCAACCATTGAAGTGAATCTTCAATACAGGAAATAGTGTACCCATATACTGTGGTCAGTTGACTCAATCCTCTGCCTGAATTTCTTGATGCCCTTCAAAATAATCCAAAGATTCCTTATATACATGTAATTTCAATCAGCCTACAGTTCAGATATTTATAAAGCAGTGCTCACAATTCTGAGATCATTGCCTGGATACTCCACCGAAATGCCAGAAATATTTCAAATATTTCTTTCACATTGTTGATCAGTCTAAGGAATTTCTAGAAATGTTGAAATTGAGTATCTTAAAAATACTAGAGTTCAAGCCTTGCAGTATAGTACAAGATACAATAATTCATTGGTATTTGTTTTCACTATCTACAGGAAATCTACAGAAAATCCCTTCTCCCACTTCATGATTTGGGTGCAATAACATTGGTTTTCAACACCAGCTGTGCTTTGTCTACAATCCTGCCACCAAGCATTACAAGTGAACTGTGACAGAGTATAAAGACGATGAACTTATACAACCACCATGCTATGAGCTTCGAGCTTTCCAGTTGGCATTCACGTTCAAGTTGTTTGATGCATATTATTCAGAAACGATTGGTTGTTTGAATTAACTGTTGCTGGATTCAGATTGAGGGATTTGTGCGAGAAGAGTTTTTTAATCTCACTTAAAAAGGATTAGTTTTAATCTCCATTTCTATGACAAAATGTCTACAAGAACTTCCACCACTAGAGTGTGCTGGTTATGAAATGAATTCATGTTGCACTTCACCTGTCATGCAATACTGTATTGTTCTTCCTTCCTATGTGGCTAAAGTCTGTGGAGGTTTAAAGGAAAAATATATTGCCAAATATATTTACGTACATATTATTTATTCAGTTGTTCTTGTAGTACCTG